CAGAGGCATCCCTCCCTACAGTGCAGCCAGTGACAGCAGCCCCCGGCCGATTTCATCCCCGGACAGGGGCCCAGCCCCCCCCAGTCAAGCACCCCCAAGGAGGAGCACCAAAACCTACCCCGACAGCACCGGTCATGCGCCCCAGAGACTCCCGAATGCCCCACCGTGAGAGAGCTGGCAGGGGGAAGCAGCGGGAGCCTCACCTCTGCCGAAGAGGGCCTAGGCGAGGAGAGGAGACAACGGGCCCCCAGGCCCAGGGACACACCACCCGCCCAGAAATGAGCAAAGGCCACAAGCCCGAGTCCGCAGAACCCTAGGCCAAGGGCGGGCCCCCACGCCCGGGGAGCCCCGCCCCCCCCAGCCCACCCCAGATCAGGCAAGGCCGCCACCAACCCCACAGCACCCCCAACGCCCGGGGCTCCAGGGGTAGGACACGAGGCCAATGAGAATCTCTCCCACTCCTTCAACCCCTCTGCCTGCCTCTGTAAATGTATTGTTTTGTGTTGGATGCATGTCATGGATTGTGAAGTGTTGTATGGTGGAGTGAAGATAAGGTGTGTGGTAACTAAGGTGCAACTAAAATTGGAGGGTAGTTGTGACACAGGCACCCCACAACTGTCAGGTAGTGGAGCCTCCCATCGTGCCCCTCCCACCCCCCAAGCCCTCTGTGTCTAATGTGTAATTAAAATTGAGGGACAGGCAGTGAGGGAGGAAGAAGTGCGAGGCCGCAATAAAGCAGCCCCACCCCCCAAACGCCCTGCAGGCTGCCCGTCCCCCAGGATCCTAAGGGTGTATGTTGTGAGACATGACCAAAGGAGGAAAGGTGAAGGAGGTCATAGGGAGGCTAGAAGACCAGATTCCTGACTGGCCCCATCATTTATTCAGTCCCGTCCCCCACCCCCCTAAGCAGGAGGACGCCAGGTCCCTCCAGCCCAGGGCTTATAGCAAGAGCCCCTCTAGCACCGGTAGCACCCCAGAGTCAGTGACAACCCCGCCCATCCCCAGGACGGGCCCAGAGCATTTCTCGAAGAGCATTTCTGATTATCTTTTCAGTAATCTTCATCACATTGGGATTTCCTGTCCCATGGAAAGACGCAGCCCTACCACAGCTGGGTCTCCATCCACTAGGGCTGGGCGATGTGGCCTAAAAATAAAATCTCTGATTTTATTTTTTTAATTCAATTTACGATTTTTTCCGATTTCCCCCCCTACTTAAGGAAAGCAATAAGGTTTGTTGGTCAGTGCGGCTTTGTTCATCGCGGAGAGACTGGCATTTTTCATATTCGGCTGGATGTCTCTGTTTCAGGTGTTGGAATAGGTTTGTGGTGCTGCTGCCTTTCACTGCGATAGGCTTTAGGCAAATGTTGCAGCGTGGTGTCTGTTGTTCCACATCTGTCGCAGCAAACCCATACCAGTTCCAAACAACAGATGACTTTATTCCTTTCTTGGGAACAAACTTCCCGCTCTCACCGGTAGCCATTTTGTCGCTTGCTGTTGCTGTTTAGTGTATGATGTTGTCGCTATGGGAAACGAACACTACGGAAACCCCGGGGAGCCAAAAATGTGCTATTACACAAAAACTCGATTTACTTATTTTTTAAATCGCCCGCAACAAAAAATTCGAATTAATTCATTCAATCGATTTTTCGCCCAGGCCTACCATCCAGTTTCATAATTTTAAGCACATATTTGAAAATTTGGCTAAAAGAAATGTGAGTCTGTGCTCATTCCCATCTGCTGTGTTACAAAAATAAAGAAGGGCACTCTCCTAATCAAAGATGGAGTTGTGAACTGCTGCAGGTTCAAAACTTGCCACCTAAGATGTCAAGTACTCTACAGGTGCATCTCATAAAATTATAATATAGTGGAAATTTCATTTATTTTTTACATTTTTTTCAAAAGGTGAAACTTATATATTACTTATATACTTATATATTCTAGATTCATTACACATGAAATTAAATATTTGAGGCTTGAAATGATACACTTGATGAAAAAGGTCAACAGAGTGTGTTTATTCTTTGAAATTCAACTCAAGGAGGTTTATTTTTACCAGTTTTTAGAGAATGTTTAAAGATATGTTGGCTACTGAAATCACCTTTCTAAAGATGGAGGACTTTTTAAGAACAAGCCCAGACACTGAAAACAAAAAATGTGTTCATATCATTGTAAGTAGGCATTGGATTGTTTACATCAATAAAATTTCTTGAATGTATGCATTTGAATCTTTTTTTTTATTTTTTTAAACTAGCATGATGAACAAATGGAATTGGAGAGGGTGGGTGGGTGTGTGTCAAGTAGAGGTTTGATTAGATTAATGAAAGGAGGAACAACTCAGATGTAGTTTAATTACTTTAATATTCTTTAGGATCAAATCAGAAAGGTATCCCCATATGCATTAAACTGCCTCATAAAATCACCTAATCTTGGTTTCAGTTACACCAAAGCACAATAGCTAAATCTAAATCGATAGAATCTAGACTGTTTTATGAGTGGGAAATGGATGAGACCTAGCTGTGGTAGGGCTGTACTGTTCCACCGGACGGGAAGTCCATCCACAATGTCATGAAAATGGCTGAAAAGATAATCAGATATATGCATCATGTAGGAACACACTTGCTTTTCTGCCTTTTACATTTCAGAAAGGCCGATCAGAATAAGTTCAGTCAGAAAAAAGCCATCAATGGAGCTCCGATACTACAATTCACTATGGCAACGGGTAAATAAAGGCAGAGCCTCTATTTTAATCGGGTGGAGCTAGAAAAATTAATGCGTGCCAACGCGGACCATGATTGGCTATAAAACACATGATTGATACGTTAACAATTACAGATTAGACACATTTTAGGCTCTTCATGGACCTGTGATTGTAAAGCCACAGTCCGACTCAGTAGGCCTATACCTATTAATGATTTTTTGCAATTTAAAATATGTCTAAGTTCAAACTGAGTGTGAAGTTTTAGACGTCTATGTTCCATTAATAAAATCTTGCTTATTTCGTATTTTGTCAGACAGTTGAAGTCAAGATCCTCTTAGGGTAAAAAAAACCCTAATAGCCTATTTAACCGTGATTTCGATGTTTCTAAAGACGTAACTGTGTTCCAATATGTGCTTTGATATCGACAGTATGAATGAGGAAATGTCACTTTTGTCACACTGCTTCCAGCTCCGCAGGAGAGGAGTCGGAGAGAAACTCAGCGTTAGTTGAAGTAAACCTCCTCCCGAGCAGGTTAGGTTCACAGCGTAAATTGCCGGGGTTACAGACCTAGAGTTAATCTGATCTCGCTCTCTGAAACCGAAAACCCAGAGTTTTCCTCATCTCGGGCTCAATTTACTCAGAGTTTTCACTAAACCCGCTTTCTGAAACAGGGCCCTGTAGATTCAAAGCTTGTATTTGTTGTGCATTTGCTGAACAGTCAGTTGCACACACCAACCATCCTCCTTCCTCAAGCCTGCAGCTTTCTTGCACCTTATAGTAAGCACAGTCGGTACATTAATATTGGATTGGTTCTATTAGGTTAATAAAATAGAGGAAAACACAGTAATGTTTGTGTGCTTACAACTTCAGTTTACCGATTGCCATTGTAACAGAAAACAGAAAAACCTCCCCCAATAAACAAGATGCGAACAGGGCGCAAACCTGCAACCCACAGAAACTGGACTTGTAAGGCAGCGTCATTAGCAGTGAGTGGGATGTCTGTATAATTTGTGAAGGTATTGAGTCACTTTATGAGCTAAGGTAGGGAAGCTCATCCTTGTGCTGGGTTGGATTGGATGTGGTCTGTTCTTGTTATTTACTGATTGGGTGATAACAGTTCAAACTGATTGACTTTGGAAAAGACAGGGTGGAGCTCATTATCATTTAACACTACATGTTATGATGGGTGTCATTGGGGACACTGAGCCCCGTAAAAACGGCGTTACATGAGCACATAGAGCGACGTTTTTTTCGCCGCCTCCAGACCGACGAAAAATGCGTCGTTGTTTACACAATTCCAGGCGCTTTTTACGGCGTTGTGCTTTATGGCGGCGTAAAAAGCGGCGTCCTGGCCGTTCAAACGGTGCTTTTTACGCTGTTTTTAACAAAACGAGGTAGGAAAGTGGCGTATTGTGAGCCTTTTAGCGTTCCGTAACTCCACCATCGCGAGACTGCAAACCATCCAGATGCATTCATCACCATCTCCGGATTTCAACCACGTGACACTGGACTCCACACTGTCAGACTTTCACCAGTTTGTTAGCTGCTCCACCGGAAAGAACATTACTGGAGCGTCCTGCAGGAAGCACATGGTGAGGACATTGAGGGGGTCACCCACTGCAGTACTGACTACCTGAACTTCTGCATGGACGTTGTAGTCCCCACCAGAACGGTACGCTGCTTCCCCAACAACAAGCCCTGGATCACCAGTAATGTCAAGGACATCTTGAACAGGTAGGAGAGGGCATTCAAGGATGGTGACAGAGATGAGCTGAAGCGCGTACAGGGGGAACTCAAGGTCTACCTAGAGAGGCGAAGGAGGACTACAGAAGGAAGGTAGAACAGAAGCTGCAGCACAACAACATGAGGGAGGTCTGGGATGGCACGAAAACCATCACAGGCAGCAAGAAGAAGCCACTCCAGCATGTCTTCAACCTGAGCCTGCAGCTGTGGAGGGTCCCAGTGCTCTGGAAGACTCAATGTCTCATCCTGGTTCCCAAGAAAAAACACCCCAGGGAGCCTGGTGACTTCAGACCAGTAGCACTGACATCACACATCATGAAGACCTTTGAACGGCTGCTGCTACATGTCCTCAGACCCCAGGTTCACCATACACAAGATCCACTGCGGTTGGGATACCAGGAGAAGGTGGCCGTGGAGGATGCCATCCTCATTATGCTCCACAGGACCTACTCACATCTGGACAAGGTGAGCGCCGCTGCTCCAGCGCCTTCGATACCATCCGGCCGCTCCTGCTGAGAGAAAAGCTGACAGAGATGAGGGTGGACCCACGCTTGGTGACATGGATTACGGACTACCTCACAGACAGTACGTCAGACTGAAGGGTCACATGTCAGACACTGTGGTCAGCAGCACCGGAGCACCACAGGGGACCGTGCTCTCTCCCATCCTCTTCACCTTGTACACATCTGACTTCCAGTATAACACCGGGCTCTGCCACATGCAGAAATACTCAGACGATACTGTGATAGTTGGCTGTATCAAGGATGGACAGGAGGAGGAGTACAGGAGCCTGGTAGAGGAATTTGTGAGGTGGCGCAGGACCAACCATCTGCAGCTGAACACCTCTAAGACCAAGGAGATGGTGGTGGACTTCAGAAGGAAGAAACCACATCTCCAGCCTGTGTCCATCGAGGGGGTCGATGCGGAGGTGGTCAGGATTTACAAATATCTGGGGCTGCAGCTGGATGACAAGCTGGACTGGACAGAAAATATGGACATTCTCCACAGGAAAGGGCAGAGCCATCTGTACTTCCTGAGAAGGCTGGGGTCCTTCCACAACTGCAAAAAACTGCTGCAGATGTTTTACCAGTTTGTGGTGGCCAGTGTCCTCTTTTATGCTGTAGTTTGCTGGGGAGGAAGCAGCAAGAGAGATGCCGGTTGACTGGACAGACTAGTAAGGAGAGCTGGCTCAGTGGTGGGCTCAGAGCTGGACTCTCTGGTGACAGTGGCAGAAAGAAGAACCCTGGACAAACTGCTGTCCATACTGGACAACGCCCACCACCCTCTGCACAACACCTTCATCGGGCAGAGGAGTGTGTTCAGTGGCAGACTGCTGTCCCAGCCCAGCTCCAACAACAGACTTAAAAACTCTTTCGTCCCCCTGGCCATCAGACTGTACAACAGCTCCTAGCCATGGCAGGGAGGACAGTAGACAAAATCTGTACTCTTTACATCCATCTGCACTCCATTTGCACTGTTTACTGTTATTTTACTGTGGCTACTGTGTTAAAAGTTATTTTAATTTTAATTTAATTTTAATATAGGTTTAATGTATGTTTCGTATGCTACTGGATACTTGAATTTCCCTCGGGATAAATAAAGTATCTATCTATCTATCTATCTCTCTATCTATCTGTACAGAATCCAGAAATCCCAAACTGAAGACATCACCAGACAGTTTAATGACTGATGTTTTTACATTTTATGACACAATTTTCTTTCTCCACAGCCCCACCTTCATTTACAGCAACGCCGCCACAGTATGTGGAGGCGAAGGAAGGGGGAAGCACTCTGCTTAGCTGCTCTGCCCAGGGAAATCCAAAACCAATGATCAGCTGGCTGAGGGAGGGGGAGGAGCTCGCAACCAACGCCAAGTATTCAGTAAGAATGATAATGAATAATGAGCATAATTCAGATTTATGATTGTGTACAAATATAGAAGCAGGGTTTGTGCACAGATGGTGTCATCCACTGAGCCCATCTGTACTGGAAGTATGTTATGGGCTGTATCTCAGTCAGGCTAATATCAGTTTGTTTTGTTGTTGTGCTGCAAAGAAAAAAAAATCACACTTTTTATGAGAAGATCTCTGTCAAGGGCTTCAGTCTAATAGTTGTGGTGCTGGGCTTTAGTTGATGATATGACAAAGGCCAAAAAACAAAAAAATGTGCTGTAGTGAGTTAACAGGTAAGAATACACTCTCAATTTGAGTATGTATTTGAGTATCTGTAAAAGTTGCAGACCTTTGACTGATTAATGATTGTAGCGGCAAGACTGTCAGTCAGGCTCTTCTCGCTTCTCGGTAAAAATGAACTCCACCTCGAATCACTATAACAAAGTTAAGAACAGCTACTGGCATCACACCTCACATTTTTGTGGCCCCTTTGTTGTCTGGTGATGCGTGATATTTATTCCTGTGGATAAATTCCCAAAAGAATGATTTCATGACAAGATATTTCTGGCATAGCCTTGGTGTGGTTTGATAGCAGCAAAATGTCTGAGCTACTTAAAACGTCAACAGTAAACATCAGGTTTGTGTTGTTGCTTGCACAGAATCAAAGACTGATAACTGGAGGGAGTACTTAAATTCAACAAGTTCTCATAGGTACTCGGGCGATTGTCAGGAGCCATTCTTGCAACATTAGGAATTAGAAGTAGGCAAGGGAGGTCAAGGTAAATTAAATCACAGCAGCTCATTACAAAATGAACTGCTGGAATGCTTTGAACATGTTGAACAGGTTGTTGATTATGCATAACAAGTACAGGAGCATTGAAGGGCATTTTATATACTGCTTGAAATTGTTTTTGGAAAGTATTGAAAGGTGGATGCCTCCTTCCTTTTTATGCATGCCTTCACATTCTCATATGTCAGTGAGACTGCAGTCTGCTGCAGGCGCTATCAACTCTTTACAGCTGTCTGTGTGATACAGGAAGTGACAGGCGCAGACATGAGTGTCTGTTAAGGGGCCTATTCCTCTTTCTCTTTCATTTTACCCTTTTTCCTCCACCGTCTTTCCCTCCAGTCAGTTCTTTTTAACACCATTCCCTCAGTAAACGATCATTCTGATGCATTATTAATCTCCTTCTTCTGCATCAATATTACATTAGTCCTAATATGAATGTTACACAAAAAATGAAAATTGTTAGTGAGAGCAAAACGGCACACATATCTAACTTCACCGTTAAATAAAAGGCAGTGCATTTATCAGCGTTCTTCATCCATTTGGCTGTTTCAAGTATATGCTCAAGTGAAAACATCAAACTTGGGTAAGCTCCTTCTTGTGGTGAAAAGAGAGGAAGCGAGCATGAGGGTATATTTGCTCACCCACATGCTCAGATCCATGGAGACGTCATGGAGAAAGGCAGGAATTTGACAGACAGGGTTAGAGAGTTCCTCCTCCAACCTTGTTCTCCTCTCTTTACTTTACTTTATTACTTTACTTATTTGCACAGGGGAAAAAAAGAACCACCAACAAAGATACTAAACAAAACAGTTGTGCAGGAGAGGACAGAAACCTAGGGTGGGATTGTAAGGGTCTTCTCCAAAGTTCACTCAAATCACAAGCAAAAAAAAGCTAGCAGGATAACAACAGCAGATTCCTGCTGTTTCAGAGCCTAATATCAGTCTCTCTGGATGTGTCAGTGAAGTGCATGTGACAGAAATTGAGATTCTGCCTTCATCTCATGCCTCACCTTATCTACTGCCTCTTCTTTCTTCTCCCCCTTTTCCCCTCATCTGCAGCTGACTTCCTCCCCCATATCCTCCTTTTTCTTTAATCTTCTCTCCCTCACCTTGGATTGAGTCCAGCACAGAAAGTATTGGAATGGACTGATGACCATTACATATCATCAGATCCTGTTAACTTTACTGTTGTAAGCAGTCTGCTACAATCACTACAGCATGTGCTGTCTGTTCTGTAGGAGTGTAATGATTTGATCCAGGGATATATTCAGTGCTACATAACATCCCAGGATTAAAAAAGGTGTTCAGACAGAATGTGAGGTGAATTCTAAAGGAGGCGTGATTGCACACAAAGTTAATGGTAATTTGCAAAATGATAGACACAAATTCGCCCAGGCTGTATGGGTAAGTTGAAACTAAAAAAAATGTATTTTACAAAAAGCAATGCAGTTGTGGGACAGGAAGTTGTCTTTAGCCTACCTGCTGTGGAAACTTGTTTGTAAGGCGGAAGATCATTATTGTACTTTCTGGAACCCCTGGCCTCCAGGATAACAGACAGAAACAAAAATAAAGGGATACTTGGCCCAATGTCATGTAAACTGTTGGAAAAAGTGCAGGTTGCTTATTTATTCATGTTTGCTAATGAGCGTTGACACAGGAACGTGATTTGTTCATTCCCATGAGGCGAAAATCCACTTTGCCTTCTGTCTGAACACAGCTATTCCATTTTGCCTTTACAGCTCTACATTTATGAATTGTATAAAAGAGTCAACAGCAATCAAATACATGATATTTCAGCGAGAGGCTTTTATTTTTAAACCATAACATGAGCCGCAAGTGACAGCTCAGTAAAAGTTACTGGTTTGTGAAGGAGGCTGAACAGAAAATCTGCCAAATCAGCCAGACTGTAGTTAGCACAAGCATTTAATTGAGACAATTTTAATCAGTTTTAATCGCTTCCAACTTTTTAAATCGATACAAATGGCTTCCCAAGCCTGAATCAGTGCCTCACAACACATCAGTGTTTAGTTTACACTTCTAGGTCTCAACACACCACACGTCATATGTTACAGCAGTGATGCACCAAGTGTTATCTTGTGATAGACAATCTGAGCTATGATGATTCCGTTTGCCAACAAAAGACTGACAGAAGTTAAATGTTGCTTGGGCTGATATACTAGTAGCATCTCTTGGCTATAAAACATTTGAAAGACGAAAGATGAATAGGAATAATTCTGCAGGCATAGCAGATTCCCCCCTCAGCTGCATGAATGGACAGACTACAGCTGTGTGTGACTTGAATGGACACAGCCTCTCGCAACCTGTTGCATAATTTATAAGGGTGTTTCTATTAGGTTTGGTTAATGTGTTTCTTCACCACTTATTGGTTCTCATCAGTGGCTGCACACAGGAACACGCAGCAATACTGAGTTAGACGTTTCCAAGGTTACAAGATGCAGGAATCAGAACTGGAGTTAATTAAAGCATGACCCATTCAAGATTTTTAAGTGTTTGATGTATGTTCTTTAGAGATGACTCTGATCAAAACTTACGTAGTATACTAAGTATATACTAACTATATAGTTTATATAAACTATTTTAATAAGTGTCTACTTGTTTAAAAGCCATTTTTCAAGCAAAAATTCCTTTTACAGTTCTATCTCCTCATATTGCCGCTTTTCCTTGTTTTAAATGACAGCGGCTGTCGCCTGGACAAAACTATTGAAAGATGCCATTGTGGGCTCGGGGACATTTCCCACTATTTTCTATCATTTGACAGACCAAGCAATTAAGTGATTATTCAAGAAAACAAAATGATGACGCTGTCACATTATTTTAATGTTTTGCGTCATCCATTTCTGCTGCGTGTAACCACAGGTACATGATGGCAGTCTAACAATCCTTGGCATCACTAGAGATGACAGAGGAGCGTACACATGCCGAGCCTACAGTGACCAGGGAGAAGTGCTCCACACCACCCGTCTGCTGGTTCAAGGTACTGTATCCTTACATTAAGCACGCTGTAGTGTAGCAAGACTGCTAGATGTAAGAGTTTATTCGTAAGTGTTGTTGACAAATATATTTGCACTAGATTATGAAATGAAAAAACATGTTTCCAACCCTTTTTACCTGCGGCCAAATATTGCATTTGCATTGCTTCTCTCTGGTATGCTGATGTGTGTAACATACCTTCTGAGTCGGTGTCAGTCAGTCAATAGCTCAGTCTGGGGCTTCTGTGTATTCATGCTCTTGTGCACAGCCATGTGTGCAACAGGATCTGTCTGTGAGGACGTCACTGTCAGTCTCCAGTCCATTAACCAGGCTCTCTACTAGACACAGATCAGATAGATGGTTGCGATGCCAGCTACTACTTCTCTCAGTCTCCTGATACAGCAGCGCGGGAGGCGAGTTAGTAGTGTGTATTTAACAAGTAGAGTTAACTTAAGGTCTGTTTTAATGCTTGACTTGTGTAGTAATTACTACACTACACTTACTCTCGTCTTTGTTCGCAGTATAGTAAATGTACAGTATGTGTACACTCACTGCAAACACACATTAAAAAATCATTGTGTTGTAACCAAGTGAACAGTGTAACCGCTGGTGCATGTGATGCAACTGCATTAAGTCTGCAGGCCTCCAATGGACCTGCCAATACTACCGTACCTGTTCTTTCAACCACAACACACTGCAGCAGCGGTGGTTCAAGTGTGGACTTCTTGCTTTCCATGTGAGAGGCAAAACAGGACAATACTACCTGTACATTCAGCTTCTGCATAGAAAAACACCTGATACTATAAAGCACACAATACAAGAGCCCTGAAATTAAAACTATGAACATTTACTGTGATACATTTGTTAACTGCAGTTGCCATATAGTCATACGTTGTAGCTATCACTTAATATTTCTTTGTGTATTGGACTAGCGTAGGCCAATCCCAACTGAGACACAGAGGGATAACATTTCAGTTATAAGACTTTTGAATAATTCAACCCATAAAAGTAGTTTTTATTGTAGAGTTGTCCACCCCTATTCACAGAGCTCTCACCTGCCAAATATCTCAGCCACGGCAATAGTCTTGTTAACCTCTGACATATAAATACCAGAATGACTCTACATGCACACAAACGTGTCACGTTGCACCTCATAAAACCGTATTTTAATGTATGAAACACTTTTAGCAAATCTACAGTTAGTTTGCGGTAAGAAAACCACAAAAATGAAGTGTACTGGAGTTGAGTTTGGTTGCATATTGGCATGAAAGGCGCTGTGAAATAAAATGCGGGGTATGATTAGGACTCATACCCAGAGCAATAACAAGCAGATATCTGAGGAGTCATGATTCTCACTCCCGTGATCTGTTTTTAATTGTTATGCGAGACGCCTGCACAGTGCCGTGAGTAGTCCCACCTGATGCATAAAGCTGCGCATGCTGAGAGGAAAATAACCAGAAGGCTTGTATCTGGGCCCACTCATAAAAGACAGCTTACCTTTCATGGCTTCTACTGTTTTATTGAGAGTTAAGAACAAACCTAGAGTACCTCAGGAGATGAAAAGGTTACAATGTGAAGCATGCATAAGTGTCAACACTGACTACTATTAAGGTTACAATAGCTGCCTGCTCACTGTATTTTACACCAGACTGTGTTGATATATTGTAAATAATAGACAGTGTGTGCTGTTTCTCACCCTGAGAGTAGGCCTGCATATGATTTCTTTATGATTTAATGCTACTTTTCATCCCTTTAATGGTCTTCTCTACTATTTGACAGATATCTGTTAGTTGTGATATCTGGTTGTAAATAATGAGTTGTACTTAACTTGAGGCAGCCATCTCTGGTACTTGGTTAAAGAATGTCAGGGCTAAAAATATCCCGGGGTGCACTGTGATTTTCAAAAGAAAAGCTCAATACATTAGAGTAGTAATCATCGATAGAATCAAATCTAATGTCATTTCATTGTAAATTTGTTTAATTTTTCTGACATTTTTAATGTGTTAAATAAAAGTATAATTAGTGATTAGGTAAATCCAAGATGATACTTGAAGCTCCTCCTTCAACTCCACTGAGCTTTTTAGTGCCTTTCAGTTCATTGTTTTGATTTTACGACCCACAACCTTACTGTTTTGGTTCATCACTTGTGAAAGGTGCTACATAAATAAAGTTTACTTACTTACGTACTCACCACCCTCAGACGCATGCAGGCAGTGCAGTGTTTGTGCATGTGTAATTAGGCAACTGTTTGCTAACAAATAGATGATGATATGTCCGTTTTGTGTCCCCCCCTCCCAAAAATTGCATCTTTAAATAGTTAAAATAGTAGACTGTTCTGTCACAGGTGCACAACACAAGATGCACTAAATCACTTGCGTCTTTTTCTCTCAGGGCCTCCATACATCGTCTCTCCACCAGAAAACGTCACTGTAAACATATCCCAGAATGCACTCTTCACCTGCCAAGCGGAGGCATATCCTGGCAACCTGACCTACACCTGGTACTGGGAAGAGGATAACGTCTACTTCAAGAAGTAAAGTTATGATCGAGTTCATGTCTGTGCTGTAGCTGCAGTAACTCTCTGTCTGGAAACATGTTAGTTAAGCACTTGAGTGAGGTTATGACTTAAAGGCCCTTTCTCAGAGGCATTTAAATCACCACCTTGCAGGCTGCATAAGGCTTTTACCCCGAAGCTTTTGGTGTGTGTGTGTGAGTGTGTGAGTGAGTGAGTGAGTGTGTGTGTGTGCGCCGGTGACCTGTCCTACTGCGGCCCTAGAGACAGTAAGCGAGGGCCTGGCGGGGGGTCTGTCTGGACAGTGCCAGCCGAGTTAGTGTGCTCTGATGACAATATCACATGACTTAGGCCTTGTGTCATCATATGCCTCTCATGCAGTGATGAGCTGAAGCGTAGCCAGTACCTCTGCGGGCTCCCAGAGCAGGTCTTTAGAGCCTGAGAGGGTTTTTTTTAGTGACAGACAGAACAAATGGGAAGGAAGAACAAGTGAATAGGACTTTGACTTGCAGTGAAAACTTTTTTTTCACAGAGGAAGTGAACTGAAGTGTCCAGTCCAATTTTAAACAGCTTTCATGGCATTAATCTTTTTTTCTTTTCTTTTCTTTTTTTTTTTTTTTACAATTCACTTGCTATAACTAGTTATTACTATGGCACTAGTAGTTTAAGAATTAGTAACTTATCTCATGTAGTTCACACATTGTAAAACAAATATTTGCGTATATAAGTATAGGAATGTATGTATTGTATTTAGCTTTTGTAAGGTCATCTCTCTAATTTCTTTCATTTTTTCTTTTTTATATTCAAATAGTTCTTTATCTGCTATTTTATACCTCTCTGTTTATGTGCTACTCTAACATGTTAATTTTGTCAATCAATAAAGTCTTATTGTATTTTGTATCTATAATAATAATAATAATAATAATAATAATACAATGTATTTATATAGCTTTTCAAGATTCTCAAAGACAAAGCTTCAAAAAAGATCATAAATAACTAAAAACACATCAAAGGCATGCATCTTATTTTCTTATGTTTTAACTAATGGGTTTTTACATTGTGTATAAACCATTATATAATGCATATTAATGGCTTTTAACTGATCTGTAAACCTTTGTTAATGATTTACTAGCTATTAATAAAGCCAGTAGTTAATAAGTAGTATAAATCCTTAATAAAAGGGGGTGATATTAGAAACCATTTTTTGAAAGACATATTGAGCTTCAATTCTGTTGCATTATGAAATGTTTAATTATGTCACTGTGTGGACAAGGACAGCAGCTCCATCATTAATGTGTTTCAATTCTAAACGGTGTCAAGAGGCTGTACCATTTGGCGATTATGGCAATTAGCAGATTTATTTGAATCTCCCTGCTCTGTACTGTCTGTTCTTTGGATCCCTCTCAGAGCCAGCTGCTGTTTGACTCTCTGCTGCTCTCCTATGGCGTCTTGGTGTAATTCAGCAAGAAAGAAAAAAATAGTGTGTGCCTTGTCCTGTTGGTGTAACACGGTCTGACAAAACGTCTCTGTCTTTTTGCAGTGATCTGAAGCTCCGAGTGCGCATTCTCATCGACGGCACCCTTATCATCTTCCGGGTCAAGCCGGAGGATGCTGGGAAATACACCTGCAGTCCGAGCAACAGCCTCGGTATCTCGCCCTCGGCGTCAGCCTACCTGACTGTTCAGTGTGAGTGTTACCGGGGCAACAAAGTGGAGGGGGAGGGGCGGGGAGATGGTACAGCGAGCTGTGTGAGAAGAAGGGAACAGCAGCAGCATTATGGAGGCTGCTTGTGTTGGAGGCTGCTGTATTATTTGGCAGCGCTGCTCTGCCGCTGTAACACAAAGTAACCTTCTTGAATTACAAGGTCAGATGTGACAAAGAGGGAGCACAGTTCGCCCCCTTGTCCTTTTGACTGAGCCTCTTTGACCATTTTCATATTCTGAGTGGATTTTAATCATAGAATCCTTATCTATTCCCACTGCAGCTTCATTCCTGTGCACAAAGATGGGGACAGGCTCGTCCTTAGACTCCATTTTTCCTCGTGTCTTTTGAATCTAGCGCCCCCCCCCAATGAAGTGGTGACCTTCCTTTTCCATCAGCTCTGACCGATGAGAGAGAAATGCCACTCATAGGCATCTGATGTTTCATCGTCGGCCCTTGTGTGTTGCTAATTTGCTCCCAAGTTGCTGCTGGTCATTGATTACTGTGCTACAGTATGAGAGAGAGCCGGGGGATTTGCAGCACTGCAGGCACTGATTTCAACACTGGCCTCAAATACAGCAGACTATGATTAAACCAGTGTCCTGTACGCTTCATGCAAAACATTCTCTAGGCCTGGATTCATCAAGCATCTCAGAATCACTAAAAGGAATTGTGCTGAAAGTTAACCTAGAAATATTAAAAAGTGTAAATGCAGAAAATAGCACCACTTTTTATGTGTATAGGCAAATAACTTCATTAAATCTCATTAAATTATTAAATATTCTATTTAGACTGTAAGAAAACATTGGCAAGCCCCTCCTCTGGCTTTAAGAATAAATGGAGTTTAAAAGTAAATTTAAATAGTGAGTCATTTGACTATACTACAGCCAACACCACATCCTCTTACAGCCTATAATAATGCCTGGCTAGCCTAATCTTCTCTTCTCCTAAATCCCCTTTCAACTGCATCTCTTTAATGTTCCTACAAGCAAAGAAAAAGTATTATTATTTCTGTAACGTCACCCAGTCTTGGGAAGTGCCCATAGTGAAATAAACATATCTCTGAAATAATATAGCCCTGCTATTATTTTAAAGAAAATAAATAATATTTTGCTAGTTTATAGGCCATATATTCTACCTGTTGTAATTAAGTAGAGATATACTTCATTTTGCAGGTGATATAGTCCCTTGTTCTTGTGCATTGTGGCAAAAAAATGCAATGAAAGTTTGATTTATGACTGTTAAATTTTTTTATTTCTGTTGCACAAGCCGTTTTTTCCATGTTCCAAAAAAAACCACATTTCTGACAGGAGATCATGTGTTCTGCTCTGCATCCTGCTCAATATCCGTTTAAAAAATTATTGTCAAAATGATTGTTTAATAAGCTTATTGTGGTCAAGGGTTCCCAAAACATCTCTCCTCTCGCAGAATATCTCTGCCTGAACGCCATTTGAACACAGGTTAGGACACCTCTGCAGAGATAGGAGATAAGCAGATAAAATGCTTTTACTTCTAGTCCTTTTGAAATGATTTTCTTTGCACATTATATTATGTCAAACAAATGACTCTGGCATCATTTATTATGTATCCAGCATCCCTAACACTGACCTTTCCTTCATGTCCAGACCCTGCCCGAGTGATCAACATGCCCCCGGTCATCTACGTCCCACGGAAACTGCCAGGCATCATCCGCTGCCCGGTGGACGCCAACCCACCTGTGACATCAGTGAAGTGGGAGAAAGATGGCTATCCTCTCAGAGTGGAGAAGGTTAGTTGGCCTCGGGGCTTCGTTTAGCCTCCCCTCTGTGTTACACCACTGCTACATTTACCTTGGATAAAACCAAACAGTATTTGGTTACACTTTATCCGGATAGTCCATCTACAGATAGTTTATAGAGTATTTCTAGGTTTGGTTAGGTTTAGGCGAAAAAAACATCTTGGTTAGTGTATGTTAAGGAATTATCATATACTCTATTGATAATCTGTTAAACAACTACACACAAAGTAAAACAGGTGAAATGGTACAAATACTGGGACTATCAAAATAAAATGTTACAAAATTTAATGTAAATGTTATTGGAGTTAGTAAATTGGTCCTAATTTCACAATAGGTACTGTATGACTGTTGTGATATATTTGGTGCATCAGCAGATAGAAAGGTGGCTCAGCCCAGCCTCACAGTAGATGTGATCAGATTTATGATGATGATAAAACTTTAGCAGATTTAACAGAAAATTCAGATTATAAAGGGGCATGCTGCTGCCTGAATGTGTCTAGCTTAAATTCCGCTAGTTTAATCTATTAACACTTCTCTTTTGTGGGAGGTTGAACAGCTAAATGAAAGAAAATGAAACGGAGCATTTTTGATTAATAGACCCGTGTGAACGTAAAAATATTTATTACGTTGTTAGACCGCCAGACAGCTTTGAAGGTAAGGACACTGCAACTTTTTTAAGTAGTAGTTTTATACTCTTCTGTGTGTTTTACTTGGATTACTGATATGACAGGAATTTTGAAAATGGTGGAAAAGCTGAGCGTCCAATCTCTAAACACATATATTGTTCATATTCATCAACCTGTGACGGTTCTACGCAATGCTAGCATCATGCAGGCAGAACAGTGGGCGTTAAAAGTTTTAAACAAACCTTTTCCTTTGTCAGTGGTGTAAAGTGCTGTACTTGAATACATTTCTGAGGTACTTGTACTTTACTTCAGTAATTCCATCATATGCTACTTTATTCTTCTACTCAACTACATTTATCTGACAACTAGTTACTTGTAAGATTTTCATCAGCTTGTGGCAAACAATGTCTTTTCAGATGTCTATGGGTTGTTAGCTGTTCCACCAAAGACATATTTCCCTTCTAAACTTCTCAGATGGTTTCATTTAAAAATATCTTTGTGGCCCAAAGAGGTAAAATTATCTACTATTTCACAAAAAAATTAACATTAGAGAAAAAGTCCTAAAAATGAATAAAAAAATTTGTGTAGCAGAAGTGTTTTTTCTTCTTTCCTCTTCCATTAATCATCTTATGACCCCTCAGATATATCTTGTGACACTTTGGATGGGCCCCACCCCCAGGTTGGGAACCACTAGAGCTGGAAATAGCTCCACCTCGGCCAGCTACAACAGTAAAAGGCTACTTACACATTAATGCAACAATATTAACATTAAAATAATGTCATCTATAATAACATGTCACTCATAGGGGTTGTGTTCTTCGGAACAAGTACTTTTAATTTTGATACTTTAAGTACATTTTGATGGTAATACTTTTGTACTTTTACTCAAGTATGATTTTTAAGACTTACTTGTAATTAAGTCTTTTTAATTAATTGACTGTCCTGTGCTCATTCACAGATATGTGTAAAGAAAGCAGTCATATTCAAACTTTGCCAGTGCCACTTGGATACAGTATATCTCTGCTTATCTCTATCTGTTTCTCTATCTAATCTGCTGTCAGTGAGGTAGTATTTTTGCGCTTCTGTCAAGGGCTGGATCTCAGACAAGCTCGCCTGCATCGCATAAGCATTCACTTCTCATTCACCTGATTTAAATGGATTTATTGTGGATTTTTGTTTTCTTGTGCAGTTCAAAAACATTTAGACGGGACCCTGACAGTTCAGGACAAACCCTGAAATCAAGCATATCAGATGCCCCCTTTATCTTGTAGTACCCCGGTTGGAGCCTGATGCCAGATGGAAGTATCCGGGTGGCAGAGGCCACTGAAGACTCCCTGGGCACCTACACCTGTGTGCCTTACAACGCCCTGGGTACCATGGGCATGTCCCCCCTGCCACTTTGGTGCTAAAGGTACATTGCTGCTCATGTTTGCGTCTGCTGTTCATTTTCTGCAGACTGATTTGTACCGGAGGTCTGCATGATGGTCTGTTGTGTTTCTCTAGGATCCCCCTTACTTTAATGTGAGGCCTGGGGGGGTACCGTCAGGAGGCTGGGAGAGAGCTAGTTATCCCTTGTGCTGCTTCTGGAGACCCTGATATACCAACCATCACCTGGAAAGGTGCATTAGACAAACATAACTATAACAAATACGTTATAAATCATCTTCTGCACTTGTTTTTACTTATGTGCTGAAATATTTGTTTGCTCACCACTATTTAACCATGTTGCTGTAATTTCCATTTCCATTGAAGGTGGGGAAGCCAAGCAAGAGTAAGCACAACATCCTACCCAGTGGCAGCTTACAGTTTCTGTCCCTCAGCAAGGAGGACCATGGAGAATGGGAGTGTGTAGCCACCAATGTGGTCACGAGCATCACTGCCAGCACGCGTATCCTAGTCATCGGTACAAACAATCTGCACAGTGCTCTCAGCTCACCAGAGCTTGCTCATGGTTATTTTGAGTTCATTGTGATCCCACCTTTCCATGTGGTTTGAGTGATTTGTATTACCTCATCCCTCAAACACCTTGCCTCTACTCAATTTCCCCTTGGGCAGCATTAAAATTTCATTAGATCTTATCTGTAATAGCTTAATTTAAAGCCTGAATCTGTAACTACAGTGTGGTATCCACCTCTCTGCTAAAACACTGTCGCTACCGCCTTTGTTGAGTTAGTGGACGAAGGACATCTTTGTACTCCTTAATTGATTGACTGAAGTGACGACAAAGCCAAGCATGGTTATGAAGTTTAAATAGGGCTATGAAGGTCCACATGCACAAAGGATTGTTAGTTAAATTATCTGTGTTTAAAAGTTGTGGTACAACAAGCTCTCAAACTGAACATTGTAGAAAGCCTCATTTAATACCTGAAATGCAAATTGAAGCGAACTTTGTGCATATGGTGCCTTTGCCTTTAAGTGGCCTTTGTAACTGCTGTGTTCTCTGATACAAATTGCGATTGTAGCAGTGATTATGCCCCTTGCTTCCTTAAGTTGTAGCGATGTCTTTAACACAGTAATAGCAGCCATTTGAGTAGATAAAATGCCTTGCACAAAGTTCTAACACAGCCTCACTGAACTGGCAGAAAAATCTTATTGACTTGTGATTATTATGGTGAATAATACAAATCATGTTAAGTATACATCTGCATAGCAATGACAGGCACACAAGTCTGTTTAGTATCAAATATTCAACCCCTGTAGGCTAGAAAGATGGATTTGTATATAGTATATGTTTCAGATGTATGAAAATTAGGACCAATTTTATTATATTTTTGCACAGGGAAGAGTACTACTTGTGACTTGATATGTGTTAAAAACAAGTTCTTACTACAATAGTGTCTTATTGAAGAACTTGTGTGTATCTTTAGGTGTGTGAAGGAATAGTTATTAGACATTTTGGGAAATTCACTTGTTTGAGTTGGATGAGAAGACTGATGCCACTCTCATGCTTAGTATGCTAAATATGAAGGTACAGCCTGCAGTAGCTGAGCTTAGCATAAAGATTGGAAACAGGGGGAAACAGCTAGCCTGGCTCTGTCCAAAGGTTAAATAAATTTGCCCTCTAAAGCTTGCTAATTAACACGTTATATCTGATTTGTGTGTCCTGTACAAAAACTAAGCTACTTTATGCTATTATTACTAAGTTAAGCTTCCTCCCCTTCAGGCTGAAGCTTTATCCTTAGTGTACAAACATGAGAATGGTATGAATCTTTTTTTAACATAGACAAGAAAGTAAATAAGTAAATAATAACTCCTTTAAGTCTGGTTAGTAAGTCACAAGTCTGCCACAGTAGCCCATTGCCCCAGTGCCTGTAGAGTCGTTATGCTGTTGCACAGCTGTCAGCGCTCCGCGTGACCAGCCCTCAGCTGACAGGTATCACAGAGCGGCGAAGACAGCTGTGCTCCTCAGACTCAGGTCTCCCTTTTAT